GGATTCGAAATAATCAAATCAAATCCATACCCTTCCGGATCTTGTGTTTGAGAGTTGAGCAAGAAAGAAATTCCCACAAATCAAAGATAAAAACTTGTATGAAAGTTAACAAAAAAGAACACATCAGATTTAACGAGGTTCGACAACGTGCCTACGTCCTCGGGAGCCACACCACACAATTCTTTGATTACTTGAAGAATATTACAATGCTTGCAATTGGCCTCTCTCTCTCTAAGATTTCTAATCTCAAAGAGCCCTCAAAACCCTCTTTTTCGTGCTCTTTTTCTCTCTTAAACCCTAAAGGGACGTGTTTCTATTTATAACAAAACGCAATCCCAAACAGATTAGGATTCTAAAACGAGTCTGCCACACCCTGGTGTGGCAGACACCACACCCATGGTAGACATGACAGATTCTGCCACACCAAGGTGTGGCAGACACCACACCCATGGCCTGTCTTGAATTTTCATGCGATTGTTTATTTTGATTCTAGGTTTGGGTCTCCACTCTCAAGACCAACAATCTCCCACTTGGAGATCAAACCACCATCAATGAGCTCTCCCAAACTCCGCCTTCTTCGCAAGCATCTTCTCCTACTTGGAAAAATCCATTCTTCAATCATCAACATCCAGGTGATCTCGCCGATCCTCGTAGTGTGGCTCGAAGGCCAACTGAAGTTGCGCACAACTCCAGTTTCTCAATGGTGACTGTCTTCGTCAACATGTCCGCCGAATTTTGACTTGCCAAAATCTTCATTAATTATAACTTTCGGTCTTCAACTAGCGAGCGTATAAAATGGTATTTGACGTCGATGTGCTTCGTTCTGGCATGATATACTGGATTCTTGGCAAGATGTATAGCGCTCTGACTGTCACAATAAAGAACTCCTCTCCCTTGCTTCAAATCCAACTCTTCCAAGCACCCGTTCAACCAGATCATCTCCTTGCTTGCTTCGGTCACCGCGACATACTCAGCCTCGGTTGTAGATAAAGTCACAATCTTCTGCAGACGTGAGACCCAGCTCACTGCTATCGACGCTAAGGTATAAACAAACCCCGTGGTGCTTCGCCTCGTATCATGATCACCGACGAAGTCCGCATCAACGTATCCCTGCAGCACCAACTCCTTCCTCCTGAAACATAGTGGTTTATTTGTTGTTCCCCTTAAGTACCTCAATATCCACTTCACGGCCTCCCAATGCTGCTTCCCTAGATTGCTAGCAAACCTGCTCATAACTCCCACTGCATGGGCGATGTCCGGCCTCGTGCTAACCATCGCGTACATGAGACTCCCAATGACCGAAGAATATGACACCCTGCTCATATGCTCTCTATTTGCATCTGTCTTAGGTGATTGCTCCTCAGATAACTTGAACTGACTTCCAAGGGGTATGTTAACAACTTTAACATTCTGCATGTTGAACCTCTGAAGTACCTTCTCAATGTATTCAGCTTGGCTCAATCTCAATTTCCCTCCAGCTTCATCCTGTTTGCATCAAAAGTTGGTTTTATCATGGAATTCATTATATCTTCAGTCGATTACAATAAATTCAAAAAGAGATAGCCTTTTTATAAGACTT